TTGTGGGTTGGGTGGGTGGGGGTCCTGCCAGTGATTCTCTGTGTTATGTGCTTAAGACCTGAGGTGTACTCGGAACCCCCATAATGTGTACTCCTGAAGGAACCCCCATAAGGTGTACTCCTGAATGAACACCCCCTTAAGGTGCTCCTGAAGGAACCCCCATAGGTGTGCTCTGAAGGAACCCCCCATAGGTGTGCTCCTGAGGAACCCCCCATAAGGTTACTCGAAGAACCCCCATAAGGTGTACTCCTGAAGGAACCCCCATAAGGTGTACTCCTGAAGAACCCCATAAGGTGTACTCCTGAAGGAACCCCCATAAGGTGTACTCCTGAAGGAACCCCCCATAAGGTGTACTCCTGAAGGAACCCCCTTAAGGTGTACTCCTGAGAACCCCATAAGGTGTACTCCTGAAGGAACCCCCCATAAGGTGTGACTCCTGAAGGAACCCCCATAAGGTGTACTCCGAAGGAACCCCCATAAGGTGTACTCCTGAGGAGACCCCCCATAAGGTATACTCCTGAAGGAACCCCCAAGGTGTACTCCTGAAGGAACCCCCATAAGGTGTACTCTGAAGGCCCCCCATAAGGTGCTCTGGAAGAACCCCTAATGTATCCTCCTGAAGGTGTTGCCTCTAATGTATCCTCCTGAAGGTGTTGCCTCTAATGTATCCTCCTGAAGGTGTTGCCCCGTGAAAACAAGTCAAAAATATCAAATGTTGCTTCAGGTAGGGTTTAATTAATTACTATCTGTCTGTGTGTTTGTTTGTGTTTGTTTACATATCAAAGGAGTGACGAGATGATACTCAATGAACTGAACTCGTCGCAGGCAAAGCAAAAAATGTTCCTCAAAATCTCATAGAGAAATATATATATATAATAATAATAAACATGTATATTTAATGTCAATTTTGTGTTTAATAAATAAATAAATAAACTCGGTGACTTAGGTAGTTAGGTAGGTAGGTATGTACATGAATTTAACTCTCTCTCTCTCTCTCTTTCTTTTACTCTCTCTCTCTCTCTCTCTCTTTCTTTTGCTCTCTCTCTTTCTCTCTCTCTCTCTCTCTCTTTGTGTGCCAAATGTCAACCCAGCGTGCTTGTTAAGTAGTGAGAGGAGTGCCAGATGTGAGGCCGACATATCAGACACTCTGAAGAAGAAAAAAAAAGCTTTCTAAGAAAACTAAAAAAAATAAATAAATAAACAGTTGTAAATATATTAAAAAATACACCCCGCAAAAAAAAAATGCAGTGGCTTTTGGTAAAAAAAAACCAAAAAAACATACGACAGTAAACGCATAGCTGTAAAAGGCTTCTGAACACATGGTTGTAAATGGCTACTAGTGTAAAAAAAAAAACACCCACCTGTAAACAGCTTTGTAGACTAATGATAAAAAAAAAAGTTGTAAATGTCCGCCCTAAAAAAAAATATCTGTAAATGGCTTTCTAGAATATAATTAAAAAAAAAATCCACATATACTGTATGTAAAATAGCTTTCTGGATAATGGAACACTGTTGTAAAACACTGTCCCGTTTATTTACAACCTTAGATGTCGTGTGTAAAAAAAAAATAATAATAATAATAATTTACATTCCCTCATCATTTACAATTTTCCATTCAGGGTTGTCAATTAACTTGTGTTTTTGTTGACAGTGATCATAATTGTCATTGTTTACACCCGAGACGTTGTTAAGAATGAATCTCTCTCCCTCTCAAACACGCTGGTTGACTCTACTGGTTAAAGTCCTGTGGGCAAGTTGTAGTGTGGGCTATGGGTGAGGTTAGAGTCCTGTGAGCAAGTTGTATTGTGGGCTGTGGGTGAGGTTAGAGTCCTGTGGGCTGTGGAGTCCTGTGGGCTGTGGGTGAGGTTAGAATCCTGTGGGCAAATCCTATTGTAGGGTGTACAGTAGGTGTGTGAGCTCTGATTCCTGTATTGAAATCCTTCCTCCGAGGTATAACGGAGGCTCAGAATCCTATGGTTTATGTCTGTGTTGTAGAGGCCAATACACGATACTGATACTCAAATAACATTACGAGAAATATTTCCGCGTAAGATTTGAATAATTCTAAGAAAGCAATTGTCTTATGGTAAGATACACGAGTTTGTGATCTTTTGAGAATCACTTATCGGTACGTTAATTAAGAATCTAGTTACCTGTGTGTGTATTAATTAATTTGCATATGGATTTACCTGTATGTGGACTAAGATATTTTTTTTTTACAAACGCAATGAGAGCATTTGATTTCGTACGTGAAAGAGAGACCTGTACTTATTTCGTTCTTGATAGATTAAAAATAAGTACATGGTAGAAAGTCCATGATCTGTCCACTACCTGTCTATTCCCACCATCCATCCATCTATCCTTATCTATCCACCTACCTATTTGTACCATGTGTCTGTCTATCCTTACCCGTCTCCTTGTATGGTAGACAGATCACCTGAAAATTAAACCCACCTGAAGATTATAACCTAACCTAACCTAACCTAACCTAACCTAACCTGTTATTTCTCAGTTCCAAAAATAATTCCCATTTACAAAACCAAACAGAAACAGAAAACCAAAAAAACTTGAAATACACAAATAAAATAAACAAATAAAATACCATCACGTCACACAAACAAAAACAGCAACAACAAAAACAGTATCTTCACTGAACAAACACACCAACACCGATTTTTTACACCGATTTTTTACACCGATTTTTTACACCGATTTTTGACACCAATTTTCACACCACTTCTCGTTCTGTGACAACTAATTTTTTATTTTATTTTTTACTCCAAAAGTCAATTGTTACAGAACCCGTGAACAATTAAGCTGCCATATTAAGACACAGTATTCAGAGAGGTTCATTAATTGGTGTACTTTCTCTTGTAGTGCTGTAGTGTTTTGTGAAGAAATATATTGTGTACATGTTTAGTTAGGATGGAGAAAGTTTAGGGGAAAGTCATTTTAGAAAGTGATTTAGGTTTTTATGATTGAAAGGTGATTAGTATTTTAGTTATATGTAATAATAATGTTGTTTAATGCTATTATTATTAGTAGTAGGTATTAATTATAAATATCTTGAAAATTATTATTATTAGTAGCAATAGTAACACACACACACACACACACTCTCACACACACACACACACACACACACACTCTCACACACACACACACACACACACACACACACACACACACCTCTCACTCACACACACCTCCTCCTCCTCCTCCTCCTCCTCTCTCACACACACACACACACACACACACACACACACACACACACACACACACACACACACACACACACACACACACACACCTCTCCTCACTCACTCACTCACTCCACTCCACACACACCTCTCCTCCACTCCACTCCTCCTCCACACACACACACACACACACACACACACACACACACACACACACTCTGTCCTCACTCCACTCACTCCACTCCACACCTCCTCCTCCCTCCTCCCTCCTCCTCCTCCCACACACACACACACACACACACACACACACACACCTCCCACTCCTCCTCCCACTCCTCCACCCCCTCTCCCTCCTCACTCCCTCCCTCCCTCCCCCACCCCACACACACACACACCTCTCACTCACTCACTCCCTCCCTCCACTCCTCCCCACACACCTCCTCTGCGGAAGGACACCCTCCCCCCCCCAAAAAAAAAAAATCCTCTCAATTTCTATTACATTAAGATAACAAATATATTTATTTCTCCCATTATATACAGAGCAACAGGTCGCTTAGTTACTGATACAACGTTGTCAATACTTCATGTTGTTATTGTCCTCTCAAGGTTATGAATGAATCAGCTGACCGCGTGTAGTAGTAGTAGTAGTAGTAGTAGTAGTAGTAGTAGTAGTAGTAGTAGTAGTAGTAGTAGTGACCCACGTGGTATAGGACGAATGTAAGCAAACGCATTCATATAAAAAAAGGCAGTAAAAGAGGGAAATTCATTCATTATAGGAATAAAAAGAGATTGAAGATTATATATATATATAAAAAAAAGACTTACATTATATAGCACATCCTTATACAACATTATATACATATTAAAATATATACAGGGTTACATAAAACAATACCTAACTCTTATAAGACATGTGTATTAAAATCTGTATATTCTTCTCTGTTTACCCCTGTATACATGTACAGTATATATGTATAGGATAATGTATAATGTGAGTCTCTAAAAAAAATAATATCACCTCATAGTCATTCTGATCTCATTGTTGTCATGGTGGTATATTTTGGCCGTTGTCATATAAGTTGCCATATGTCATGTAACTAACACTAATTAACAGGTATGAAGCAGTGGCTGGTAGCACACTATAAGACGCACACACACACACACACGCACACGCACACACACACACACACACACGCACACGCACACACACAGACAAAAACACAGATTTTATCAACACACAGACACGGATATTGTAAATAAAACAGACAAGCATAGACGATCATATACAGACAGACAGACAGACAGACAGACATCAAAATAACAAATGTACATATATCTAGTGTACATATAACTAGTGTACATATATCTAGTGCACATATAACTAGTGTACATCAAACAAACGTACACCTACTGTTACTCGTCTTAAGTGTGTACTACCAGCCTTCACTAATGCTCAGCCGATCAGCAGCACAATCAGATCTCACTAGATGTAAGTAAACAAACAAACAAACAAACAAATAGCTTCAATAACAATCCTCATTATTTACCTCTGGATTTAGGCGCCCACTCCCCCTCCTCCCCCTCTCACCCCCTCTCACCCCCTCTCTCAATCCTTCCTTCCTTCCCCTTCCTTCCATAAGATTAATGGACATACCTTCCTTAGTGCTATATATACCTTCACACACACACACACACACACACACACACACACACACACACACGTACGTTTTATGTCCATGTTTTAAGTCCGTGTTTTAAGTAAGTTTGGTTTAATCTGGAGAAGAAGGTAGATGGTTTAGA